AAAAAAAAAAATAGAACAAACACACAAATGAAAATATAGTTTTCTAAAATACATTCTGAGCCATGCTCGTGCTGTAAAATGTTTTTAAAAAGCGTGCAGTTGGCCTATCATCGAGTAAGTTTGATAATGTGTTTATATAGTCCTTCAGGAGGACTGAGACATCCTCCTGAATTAACTAGTTAAACAAAACCAGTTTAACTAGTTAATTCAGGATGTCTGAAATCATATGATCCTTAGATACTTATTTAAAGTAACACCTTTTAACATCTCCCTGAATGATTCTTTTGCTGAACACCCTTGGAAACCTTGATGTAGAAAATTATAATTCACCTTAATAGTAGATACCTTCTTTATAGGAAATCCTGGAGGAAGAGTCAGCCGTTGGCAAATGTGTCATTAGCAAAAGTGTTCTCATAGTCCTCAGCCTCTTGTTTATGCATCTACTTAACTAATTTGCTTGAAGAAACTGTGGAGTCCTAATTAGGGAAAGGGAGTCAGGCTGGTGGGAGCAGGGAAAAGCAAAAAAGAGAAAGCAGAGGAGCTACAAGTCTGTTTTTCTTCATGGCCCAGGACACACAGCTCTCCTGCAAAAATAACTCAGTCTTCTTGCACCCAACTATCACCAGACACCTGCAAATCAGCTCCCTGCAACCTTGGCGTTATCAGTACTGCACAAAGCCCTTCTCAACAAACAGCATAAACACCACCCTATAAAATTTTCAGCAAGCCTTTGTTTCCTTGCAGTCAGCTTCTGCTGACTAGCTTATCGTCTCCCTGGCAACGTATTTTCCTACTTTCTCTAATAAGTCTGTCTTCCTTTACCTACAACTGTCTTGATAAATTATTTTACCCCTGCACCAGCGGCTGACGTTTCTCCACAACAGAAATGCCCTGGTTTTAAGCATTAGTCTTGTCTCTAACTCTGGAGTTAAAGGTTCTGTCCTTTGCTAAGAGAATTTGTTCCACTGGAGGGTATGGAAAAGTGTGCTTGTGGTTCCTAAAATCTATGGGTAGGTAGATGTTTACTGACTCTATTTCATCTGAGTGCTCACTTTTTGGTCTTCATAACACAAAGTCAGTGTTTTCATAGATAGAAATATCTGTGCTGTGAAGTATATTAGAGGCAAGCTGGGTTCTACCTGTCTAATTAGACTTTTTCTCTCTCATCTCCACAGATTTCTCAGAGAAGAATGGGTATAAAAAACCATTCCATAGTGACTGAGTTTCTGCTTTCAGGATTAACTGAACAGCCAGAGCTTCAGCTGCCCCTCTTCGGCCTCTTCTTAGGAATTTATACAATTACTGTGGTGGGAAACCTCGGCATGATCTCAATAATTAGGCTGAATCATCAACTTCATATCCCCATGTACTATTTCCTGAGTAGTTTGTCCTTTTTAGATGTCTGCTATTCTTCTGTCATTACCCCTAAAATGCTATCAGGGTTTCTATGCAGAGACAGATCCATCTCTTATTCTGGATGCATGACTCAGCTGTTTTTTTTCTGTGTTTGTGTTATTTCTGAATGCTACATGCTGGCAGCCATGGCCTATGATCGCTACGTGGCCATCTGCAGTCCACTGCTCTACAAGGTCATCATGTCCCCTAGTGTCTGTTCTCTGCTGGTGGCTGCTGTCTTCTCAGTAGGTTTCACTGATGCTGTGATCCATGGGGGTTGTATACTCAGGTTGTCCTTCTGTGGATCAAACATCATTAAACATTATTTCTGTGACATTGTCCCTCTTATTAAACTCTCCTGCTCTAGCACTTATATTGATGAGCTTTTGATTTTTGTCATTGGTGGATTTAACATGGTGGCCACAAGCCTAGCAATCATCATTTCATATGCTTTTATCCTCACCAGCATCCTGCGCATCCACTCTAAAAAGGGCAGGTGCAAAGCCTTTAGTACCTGTAGCTCCCACCTGACAGCTGTTCTTATATTTTATGGGTCTCTGATGTCCATGTATCTCAAACCTGCTTTTAGCAGCTCACTCACCCAGGAGAAAGTATCCTCAGTATTTTATACCACTGTGATTCCCATGTTGAATCCTCTGATATATAGTCTGAGGAACAAGGAAGTGAAAAATGCCCTGACGAAACTTTTAAGGAGAAAAATACCTTTATCTCCATGACAAATATGCTCTTT